CCACGTGCTCGGCGGTAAAGGAAAACTTCGTGAGGAAACCTAAATATCTGAGAAATAAGAGAAAAAATTCAAAGACATGTGAAGTTCGCCAATACGCATTAGGGCAGCGCGGCGGACACTTCCTTGCCCTAAAACCCTCTCAGAATTGAAAGGAAGTCTGTGCCCAACAGTGGGACGTATATAGGCTGTAACTCTAACTTTTAATCTTAATTCAATATATCAAAATAAATTTCTGAGTATATTGATTAAAACTACTTTTACGGATTTTATCGCGTTTTATTTATATTAATTTTAATACCCGACGTTTCGGGTGCTTTCTAGCACCCATGGTCACGGGGGACTGAGGTGACTGACGTCCCGATGTCAAAGTTAACCCGGAGTACCTTCAGCTTTTTAATTATTGTCTTTGGTCCGTCCGATCTAGTTCATTCTGCGTAGATCGGACCAGAAATTAAAAAGCTAAGTTGACATCGGGACGTCACCACCCGAACTGGGTATTAAAATTAATATAAAAACCATAAAATCCTAAGTTTAATCAATGTATAGTGTTCGCGTAAATATAAGAAATCATTAAATTTCTGAGTAGTTACGTTTCTAATATTAATATTTTTACATATTATGATCCAGTGCCTGACTTTTATCCCACGTAATATTTTTTTACTTACCGACCGCCTTTATGTCCTATGGTGAAAAGGAGAGAGAAATTAAAGCGTGTAATTTCTGCGCACACTCACCGAAACGCATTCTATAGTACACTGCGAAGCTAGCTACTCTGCACCTGTGATCGAGGCTGGCAAGATTGGTTTCAACCAAATCATGATTACCAATGAGCCTCTTAGCACGTCTCTCCACTGATTGCGACACTACAAGGTGGCATTTTTCAGCACCGGCCCATATGATAGCAGTACTCCATGCACGACCAGACTTGCGCATTATATAGGGTAAGAAGCTACCCCGGCATGAAGTACCGCCACACCCTTCCAAGGACACCTAGTTTTCTTGTGGCTGCTTTGGCCCTCGACTCAATGAACCACCCATAGTTGAGGTACGGAACAAAATTCAACCCCTAACAACTGAAAGCGGTCAATATATTCCAAGGATACAATCTAGGAATTAAGTGGTTTTGATTTTTCAATCATTTATAAATTTCGAACGATTTTTGAAGGGAACTACATATTTAGTTGGTCAGTCGAAATAGAATTAAAAAATATTTAGTAACAACATGAACAATAATCATTTACTATTCAAATAGTTTTAAAACCTAATAAATATATATTTATTCTTTTATTTATTTGCCCTTTATTACCAAGCCATATGAGAGCTACATAAGGAATATTTTAAATAACAAAATTTGTTTTTTCCTTCCTTGGAAGGATACATTCTAGTTTTTAATGTTTTGACTTTTCAATTATTTATAAATTTCAAACAACTTATTTTTGTCAGTCGAATAGTCATATAATTATTTAGTAATAACATTATGAACATTAACTATTTACTATTTAAGTTTATTTTAAAATCTAATAAATATTTATTTATTCTTTTATTTATTTGTCCTTTATTACCACGTCTTTTATGAGATCTACATAAGGAATGTTTTAAATAACACGAAAAAAAATATTAAAACCACGGCAAATTTTTTCTGCCGGTTAATTTTGCCGTTTGCAAGCCATACAAAAAAAATTTATCGGAATGTACACAAGTTTAATAAACGATATAACGAAATGATAACAGTTGATTCTGCTACACGATAAGAGAGCGTTTTTATTGCAATGTGTCTGGATATTTCAAGGTACCTATGTTATGTGTTTTTTTGGTTAAGAATTTAACTATTTATAGGACAGATATATATCTCCTAAGTAATATAGAAATCAAGAAAAGTAACATCTAAGAAACTTCAAGTCAATGTAAAATTTATAGCTTTATTCAGTTATTGAAAGCTTTTAATGAACCTTCAAATATACCCACAGTTCAAATAATATAATTTCTACAAAAAAAATACCGCACGGAACTCATGGTTCATCATATTTTTAGAGTTCCTCTGTGAAACAAGGTGACCTTATAATTTCTTAATGTCCACCTGTCCTAATGTATAGCTTGTATGTTTTGTACATGGTACAGCCAAGCTGCTAGACGGCTGCAGGCTAGATGGTTAGGCTCAACGAGGGATACCACACTCCCAAGGAATATCTGCTTGCAAGGAACTTATAAAAAAATAAATAATATTCGTAGCTTACATAATTTCACAATATTGCATGCTTAGGTACTTAAAATAGTGCAGGGGCAAACTTGTACAAAATACCAGCAAGAAATAGCATCACAATGCTGCTATGTTTCGTATATTCAGTGACAACTTTTTTCTGGACTATAGGGCATTCCATTTTAGTATTGACGCACGCACGTTTTAATTCTGATGTAGATGTTGAATAAAACTAAATTTACGGATTTTATCGCGTTTATTTAACTGATTTTACTTATATCGGACCGAAAAATTAATATTAAAAAACTGAAGGCTAACTATGGCATTGGGACGTCAAACATCTCAGTCCCCTCGTGACCATGGGTGCTGTAAAGCATCCGAAACGTCGGGAATTAAAAATAAGTAAAATCAGTTAAATAAACGCGATAAAAGCCGTAAATTTAATTTTGTTCAATGTGTAGTGTTCGCGTAAATTTAAGAAATCATTATCTGATGTAGATGACTAATCTCCTTAAGACAATGGGTGCGTTTGGCAGAAAAAAGCGCTAGCAAGCGCTTGTAAGCAAAATGGCGATCGTAAGCGCTGTCAAATCGTAAGTAGCTATTTTCCTCTAGGACACGATGTTAGTTTTAACCGGGGAACCTAATCTAATTTAAATATATGTTTGTAAAGTATTCATATTAAAAACTTACTAATCATGAATTTTTAGTAACATGTATATGTTTATTCATGTCATTATATTACTTAAAACTAATATTGCACAAAACAACTTATAAACTCTACTTCAAAACAAAGAAATTAAATAAGCAAAATGGCGGATTGTGTCAGCGCTACTGAAGTAGCAATCGTGTCCTGGCCGAAAACTATATTAGCGCTTGTAAGCGCTTGCTAGCGCTTTTTTCTGCCAAACGCACCCATTGTTGAACTGACCGCACGGTTGTCATTTGTCAACCTATTGGTACCGTATTAATTTTATAGAAAACAAACATTGCTAACTTCTAGATTTTTTGGCTCAAAAAGGTAAAAATGAAGTTCCATTCGTCTACATATTTACTATAATATGTGTATTTATTAACCATGCTCTACGTATACTTTTTATCAATCGAGGACACGCCTTTACATCTTAGCACGTACGTTATTTTATTTCAATATATACATATAAATAACATTAAAGTGTCTATAGTATTAAAATTACTAGCTATTATTAAGCTCAGGGGGTTATATTAAAACATAAACAACCATTTTTGATACAGTGATATGGGTTATATTTAATCCGAAAAACCTAAAGATTAAGAAAAAAACGAATAATTGATTAAATAATCTTTGATTAAGTTAGATCTAAATAACGTCACATTAATAGATCTTATCGTGGCGAAGTCAGGGCGGGTCACAAAGTTAAAATAAAAGTTCGGTTCCGTGGGTCATCACTGGCAACACGCACTGGTTGTACAACTTACTTTTCAGGTTTTGAGGTATACCTGACGAGAAGATGTGTCGTTATTTCCCGAACACTGCCCAGCCGAGTTGTATCCGTCGATTGACCTCTCGGTCGAAGTTGGACTTACCTAGTCGGACTATTATTATTATTATTATTTTGGATTAGAGCACGAGGGGGACGGAGCGTTGACTTCGTTAAACGTGACCTCTCCACTCCACTTTCTGTGGGGCCGCTTCTGAAAGAAAGAGTTCATCATAAAGAGTCCCTCTTTCTCCACAAAGTCGGCCAGCTGCTGACCCCTTGGGTTCCGTTGCTCTATCCCAAATTTCCCTACCTTCAGCTCACCATTATTTCTTGTGCCTAGTTTTGCTTTAAAATCTGCCATTAACACCGTATAGTGAGTTTTGGAGGAATGTATGGCTCTAGAAATATTCTCATACATTTTCTCCACTTCCTCATCGGTATGCTCCCACGTTGGTGCGTAAACCTGTATGACCTTTAGCGAATACCGTATAGTGATTCTGAGTATAAGGTACGCAACCCTCGTCGACACACTCCCAATCTTTACAACGTTGTTAACGAGAGACTTGTGGATGATAAATCCAACACCTCCTTGGGACAGATGGTCGCCCTCCCGTTGATAGAACAAGTTGCCAGATTCGAGAATCACCGTGTCCTCCCCCTCTCTTCAGACCTCGGATAACCCTATAACATTGCAGCGCAACTTGTCTATCTCTTCTTCCAGCTCCAGGATCTTCTCATCAGTCCTCAGGGTGCGTGCGTTATATGTTGCCAGGTCGAGTCGTCGTAGGTGGCAACCGAACCTCCACCGAAGATTCTTAGCACCCCCTGCCTCGCCGTTACGCTGGTCGCCGAGCGGGTTGGCAACTACAGTTTTTTTTGAACAGTTGCTGCTATCAGATGCTGCTGCCCATCTCCTGCATGTTTCCCTCTGTCGCCTTTTACGATACCCATGGGAAGATATGGGGTAGTGGATATTTTTAACCGCCGCTACACGGCCGTACCAGACTCAGACTGCAATAATGCTGTCTAGTAGCAGCGTAAGAGAGAAACTTAAAAAGCCTCATTCTGATAACAAAGTAAAAAAATGCGGTTACAACCCAGCGTTACAAGCAGCTTTGGTCAGCAGCCTGCCAAGCGTGGCTACTGTGGCAAATATGTACAAAAGTGGAATTTGATAGGCTGTGATAATGATAATTATTCCGTTCAGAACTACAGCTGTGTAGACTCTGTTTGTTGGTGTCAGAAATATGTAAGATTGTAAGAGGGGCAAAACTGTAGTCTTACAATTACCGAGTAAGAAATCCTACACGTTGATTATTAAATGAAAATACGAAAATCAGTGTCGGACAACATGCCGATTGCAAGAGAGGAAACCTGGCACTTGCCCGAGCACAGAGCATCCTCGTTGGTCAGCTGCGTGTATTGAAGCCTGTAACATGGACTCGCAATGTGACGGAACCCAGCGCTGCTGTCGGCACGGATGCAGCTCTACTTGCAGAGAACCCGTCGACCTTTTAACTATACCTGGTTAGTTCTTGTCTTCTTTAATTATCAGACTATTTAATCTATTGTTAATTTAGAATTATATTAATGAAGGCGCCAATTGAGTACTTGACCGTCAATCTACTCGTAAAGTATTTTTCAAGAGTAGTCAAAGGAAACATTGCTGAAAAAATTGTATGAGAGTATAGTATAGTAGAATAGTAGTAGTCATGACGTCATATTTTTAACTTTAAAATCTTTATACATTTTTAAACACTTTTTTTTCTTTTTTTTTTTAAATCGTTAGCCCTACACTAAGATTTTCTCTTGTATCGTAGGGGCAGTTTACAAACATAAATTGCACAAGGACAAATATCCAGACCCGGAACATCTATTTGCATTCCATACAAATACTTACTTTTCCGTGCGGGATTCGGACCCGCGACCCCCAGCGCAGCCACTCATTGCTAAGCCACTGCGCCACAGAGTTGTCATACTTGAAATGTAATTCAACTTAAAATAAATATCGACCAAGTTTTTAGACGCTACCAAAAGTAGGAAATTCAAATTACGAGGGCGAATCAATAAGTTGTAGTGTAATGTTACAATTAACAACAGAAAAGAAATTAGAAATAGCCTAGTACTGATCACCTTTTCCAGGGGTTATTATTGTCCATAAATTCCTTAATATTATATATTAATATTATATATAATATTATATATATTAATAACCCATTTAACACCAACTTAGTTTAATAAAGTTGTTGAAATTTGTGCAGGTAAAATTTTGTATATTTTCTGGTATTTTGTTGCAAAAGCGTATACATTGCCCCAATAATAAATTATTGACTCGGTGAAGTCGAGTAACTGGTAATACTATTTGCATGTGTCTGTGCCTAGTATGTATAGAATAAATATCACTTCTTTTTGTAAAACTACTTTTATTTTTGTGTACGTACACTACATTTTCATAAATGTATTAAGAGGCCAAGGTTAATATATTCATTTCCTTAAAATTTTGTCTGAGCGACACTGAGGTTTTAAATCATAGATTGGTGTTATGTCCCTCTTCTGTAAAACAAATATAATTTCAGTGTCTGTCGCGTGTCCCCATAGCGTAAGAAATTATGATATGGAAATAGTTAAAGTAAACTAGTATAGCTGTTTCAATACTGGTAAGGCTTGTAATCTTTTTAAAGCATATGCTGCAGAAAGTCTGCTAGCTAGTTTTGAAATATGGGGACCCCATTTTTCAAAACAAGTTTCGCGTCTAGTTGATTCTAAAGAAAAATGGTGATATCGACAAGGTTTACTTTTTCCACATTTAAAATTTCATTGATATTCAGATGTTTGACATTTGGAGTTATGAATTTCATAGATTTAGCTTTAGTGCCATTTAAATGCAAATTATTAACATTAACCAATTTACTAATTTAGATATAGCATTATTTACAACGTCATATTTTTATAATTGTAGTTTTAATTCGAAAATTAATGAAGATCATCGCCAAATAATACTATATCATCACACTTCAAAACAAATAATACTATACATCAGCTTCCATTAAAACATACTACAAGCCACCGAAGAAGATAAGTCATTTTTTATCATCAACCAAGTGTAATATTCCTCTACAAGATGCAGGTGTGCACAAGCTAGGCTGTGAATGTGGTCTCTCTTACATAGAAAAAACAAAAATAGCTATAAAAACCCGCGTGGAAGAACATATAGCTGACATAAAGCACCGAAGCTCCGGGAAGTCTGCAATCTGTGAACATGTTCGAGATGGTCCCCACCATTACATCGGATTTGATAAACCTCAAATCCGCGCAAAAGAACGCCGATTCCTACGCGAGGCGATTGAAATTAAAAACATCCCAGTTTCAATAGAGAAATCAAAAGAACGATGGGTGCTACCATCTGCTTGAGATTCTATAATTAACAAAATTAGATCCAGCGTAGATCGGACCAAAAATTAATTCAAAAACCGAAGGTAGCCGAGCTAATTATGACGTCAAATATTTCAGTCCCCCCCCCTCCCGGACAATATCGGAAATTAAAAACCAGTTATTTAAACGCGATAAAATCCGTATAAATAGTTTTATTCAATTTGTAGTGTTCGCGTAAATTTAAAGAATCATTATCTAACTCTTGTCCTGGCAAAATTATGATTTAAAATGACACAATCTCTTTAAACAAGGCAAGGACTCGTTTGAAGATGATCCTGGAGCGGACTAGTCAAGGCAACCCGGATCATCTTGGTATGTTCAAAGTGTGCGCATGATGGACGTCGAGAAATCTTACTTCACACCAAAAGAAGCGTCATAGAAAAAGCAAGGAAGATTTTTTGGTTCGGATTACTACTAAAGACGAAACTTTTGTTCATCTATAAGCCTGAGTTTAGGCAAGGTGATGGCACAAAAAGATATACCACCCCCTAGGAAATTTTTAGTATTCAAAAATTAAAAAGAGGGAATTTTTTTCGTGTGATGATAAAGGCAAGAGTGCAATTTCTGACCATTTTTAGAATAAAAAAAATCTTTTTTCAATATATTGAGGAAGAAAAATAAGTGTGACTATAATTTTATAGTCCTTGGCCTCATTCCTCAAACTTATTTACCTACCCTTGTATATTATGTTGTTATTTTTACTGATTTTAGCAACTACCCAATTAGCTTGCATACGAAATATTTGTCAACCCTCCGAAAACATAATCATCACCCTGGGTACAAAAAAAAAAACCCCCCCTCCCCCCCCCCCAAATGGTTTGGCGAATGCAGAGCTAATCCTCTCACGACGGTTAGGCTACTACCCAATACCAGTCTATGGGATTTGTATTAGGTGGGACGCTAGAGCCGAGATTGAATAAGGTTAGGTTCATTGCACGCATGGGATAAGAAACCGTTAATATATTATAACATTATAATATAACTCTGTGCATTCGACGCTGCACTAGCTTAGCCTACCTACGATCTAATCGCGTAATTGTCACATGGGGCGTGGGAATGTTAAGCCAAACTAATACCATGGGGGAGTTATGTACCCAGTTGCTCTCTCCCGAGGAAGCTTTGTACCAAAGCTTTCCCGTGGCCGTAACTATAATGTAAAATAGCTATATGTGTGGGGAAGGTGTGATTCCGTAATGTCGCCTCTACACGTTGGCCAACACAGTGGCGAATGTAGTGGCGAATATATTGGCCAAGAGTTGATGACGGCGTCCACACGTTGGAAGGTCGTTCAGTTTACTTCGGTTCGGGCCAATGTGCGGACGAATTTATAAGCACCGTGGCGCAGTGGCTCAGCAATGAGTGGCTGCACCGGGCGCCGCGGGTTTGATCCCGCACGGAACAAGTATTTGTATGTCCTACAAATAATTGTTTCGGGTCTGGATGTCTGTCCTTGTGCAATTTATGTTTGTAAAATGCCTGCGTGATACGGGAGAAAATCCTAGTGTGGGGTTCACGTTTTTATAAAAGAATTATAAAATAATAGTGGTTATTAATGGGGCTGTAAATAGATATACGATATACGATTAGCTTTATTTATTCTTTACATGCATCATAAACTGGAATAAATACTAACTAACTTAACTTATTTTAAAGTTAAACGAATTATAATCGATTAGTCTATGTTTTAAAATTGGGTTTTGATTTTAAAGTTTAGCAAAATATGTACTTGCATTTCTATCAGACATTTGATGTATATAAAAAACACCTTATAATTTATTTGGTAATTTAATTATTTTTTGAGACATACAAAAACAGTAGCAATAAATATAATTAACACTGACTTAATAATAGGTACTAATTATAACTTAGAACATAAATGAAAAACTCATGACGAGCAAAGTGGCTCAGGACCATGCTTTGCGGCAGTCTGTGGAGGAGGATGTTCAGTAGTGGACTTGTGAACAGCTGTAATGATGATGATGATTCGAAAACTTGCACGATTAAATTATAAGAAATCGACGTTTTTTTATAGGATAGTGTGACACAGTTCACAGTTCACCTGATGGTAAGTGGTTGCTGTGGCCCATAGACATCTAAATCTATCCTCGATTACGAATCAAAATGCAGATGCGTTGTCACCCGTTAGGACTAAGATGAAATGCCTCGTTTCCTTTAAAAAGGGTCTCTGGTTCTCTACACTCACTATACGAAACACAGCATCATTAAGCTACTATTTTACGCTGATATTCTGTGAGAGCGTGGTCCTTCCCCGGTCGAGCCGACCTTCGTGCTGCAACTATACTTCTAATATAATTGCATGGTTCTACCACGTATAAATGAAGTGCTTCTTTTTTTTTCATTTTAAAATTGTTCTCGTAATAATCTGATTGTAAAAAAACGTTATTTTTTTTTTTTGATAAATAGCTTATTGATTAAAACAAATGTTCAATAATAACTAAATCGCGCTAATTAAAGTAGTAGGAATGTTTAAAGTTAAAATTGGCACTAGAAGGCTGGTAATTGGGGCATCCACCCTACAAAGCTTGAATATAAAATTTAAATCAGTTGCGTGTAATCACTCTGGGAGCTTGTAGCAAACTAAACGCGCGGCCAACGTGTGGACGCGGCGACCAAACTCCGCCAACAATCCTTTGATCTTTTGTAAAAAACCGACACCACACGGATCTCGCGCCAACTTGCGGGCCATCGTTCCAATACATACCAATGAAGCCCAAACACCCCGTCTACACGTTGGCCAATGCTATTGGCCACTACATTCGCCACTGTGTTGGCCAACGTGTAGAGGCGCCGTGGCGAGTATGCGTAGGTATTTCTCCATGTTAAAAAAAGTTGATACTGTTGTGAACATCTTGTTAGATTTAATGCCTAATGCGATAGCTTCCCGTTGTGTGAAAAAGTTGTAACCAACAAAGAATATCACATTTTACGTAAATATTTTTTCACTTTTAACCGAATGATATCGCCATGCTCTATCGGCATTTAGCACACCAACATGATTAACCTTAATTGTGATGATGAATATTTTAAGGCAATAAAAATGTATCATAATATTTTCTTGGGATATTTTAAAAATAACTTTGATAAATTTTTACGAAGGTCTGCCAGCCATGCCAACTTTAGCGGAAATTAAAGAAAAACGACGCTCCGTGCTCATTCGATGGTCAGATGGAGTTGGAGACGTCGCTCGTACTGTTCCAGGTCGGATTTTGTATCTGCTGGAAGAACAACATCATCTAGGACCAAAGTATGAAGAAGCAGGATTAGGCGACTGGAACTTACTGTTGCGAACGAATAAGTGAGTACATAATTAAAACAACACTAAAATTTTGTTTTTGAACTCATGAATTTCCCATTCTTTTGGTCGTGAACTATTTCACGATAAAATTTATTTTAAATTTTACAAATTTAACAGCTATCTAATTATCCATTCCATCCATTCATCCATTATAGCCATATGGGGAAGCACCAAGTTCATTGCTGAACTTGGTGCTTCCCCATAGATTGCCTCATACCTTTTTTCGTTGTGGATTTTCGATATTTTATATCATTAACACCTTTAAGTGCTGACTTACCACGTGATTGATGGTAAATGTAATGAGAAAACTAAATATCTGCTGGGCATAGGTCATCTATTAAAACATTGAAATTCATTCCGCTGATGCATTATTGGAAAAGCTTAAGTCCGACAATAGGGTCAACATTAATAAGGGCGATTATCGTACGTCAAATTGCGGACAACCGCTCGCGAGCTCGAAATTCAAACCAAACTTCCGGTATCTATTCCTAGCTGCCGATATCTATTTATAGTAGGTATTTGAACTTATTATTATAGAATTGACTATGATTAGTTATTTAAAAAGAAAGCTTCGTACCGGAGTATAATGTGACCCCGATGTAAAGGGAGCCTGGTAAGACATGCAGGAAGTCAATGCAGGTGACCCAGGACACTAGGCGTACTTATTTATCATTCCTTGGCTAGTCCTCTTTTCAGCTCTGAAATTTTGTGACTATCAATTTATTAAATTTATTGAAAAAAATATTTTTTTCTCTACGCCTATATTATTTAGTTCTTGCATCTGTCATCATGTTTATTACATTTTTAACCTAAAGTGTGACTATTTCGGACCAGGTAAATTTGGACAAGTGAGGTGTTCTTATTATGCCTATACACCTCCATAATGTGCAGTTGACAGCTTTAAATAGCATGTTGCGCCTATTAAAGTCCACTGCTAAACAAAGGCCTCCCCATTATATTTGCTCTTAGGTAGGATATTTGCCAGGTATGCTGCAGTAGGCAAGCGAGTTGGCAACCGTGTTTTTATTTTCAGTCGTTATTATAAAGGCGCAGCCACCCATCTCCTGATGAAGGATGTTAGAAATTAATCTTGGTCAAATTCGAACATCATTCGCGGAATTTACCTTCTAATTGCATAGTTTTTATACATCATTTGTTAAAAGTTTATTAACCCCACGCTTCTTATAAGATATAAATAAACTAACAATTAGTATACATATCATTAAAATTTGTTATCTTAATATCGAACACACGTAAAAAATAAGACTAAGCACTCAGTATCTGATGTTATTTATGCTGACGTCACTGTTTTTAGAAATAATTTCATACGTCTTAGATGGCAATGAATGTTACATCATTGATTAAACATCTGATTTTTCCCTTTAATTGATTGGGATATTATTATATATTTTTGTAGAATACTATAATACACAATAGAATGGCTGTCAACCTTATTTTGTACGAGGATTGACGTCAGCAAACTCGATTCACTGTGTTGACAGACTGATTAATGTGCAAGAACATCATTAAAAAAATCGTTAACATTTTAATACATATTTATTTACGGATTTTATCGCGTTTAATTACTTTAAACGTCGGGATAATAATAAAAATAAATTAAAGTAATTAAACGCGATAAAATCCGTAAATAATAGTTTTATTCAATGTGTAGTGTTCGCGTAAATTTAAGAAATCATTACATATTTATTTGTAAATAGGGTGCAATTTGGCATTTTCTAAATAATTTGCATGCAAAATTTGAAAACGATTGTAATGTCAAAACATTTATACGTGTGAATTGACGTGTTAGTGACATTTTAGTAGCTACGCGGGCTCCGCACATTCCCCTGTTCTATTATGTATGTGTATTATAGTATTCTATGTATATTTTTTATTTAAACCACTTCTACATTCGATTCCTAATTAAAAGGAAAGCCGTCAAATTATTTACTCGAAGAAGTATTTGATTCATAGTTGGACAGTGGTAAACTCACTTATAATACTTACAAATAGCATATTTTATTTCAATTAAATACACATATTACAAAAATACTTTCAATTATGTAGTTACAGTAACTTAGTTTTTAAATACTTTATTATAGAACAAAAGTATCACTTCGAAATCATTTGAAGCCTGGTCGATGGTACCGATTCCGGGTAGCTGCAGTTAGTGCTTCCGGAACTCGAGGCTTTTCAGTACCAAGCGCTCCATTCACACCGCGCAAAGGTCCTAGGCCACCTCCGGCGCCGAAAAAATTGAAAGTCCAACCTGTTAAAACAGAAAATGGTAAGTTATGTGATAGCTCTTATTTGCCATCAAAGGTATCTTAAATTTAGTAATAAGATCCACTGCAGCTGTGTTGTAACTGCAGAACGTATGGGTCATCTTGAACGGGAGAGGACCATGCTATCACAGAATTAGAATGTGAAATGACATCATGTCTACATACAGAATCTTTTTATCATATGGAATACTGTGTGCTCTTAACCCATTTGCCCTTTTATTAAAAATAATAACTATGTTTGTTAAATTACAAGTGTTTATAGTGTAATAAAATTTCTCTTTCATTTATTTAGTACTAACATTTAATTACTTTTCATAATTTTCAGGAAGTGTCACCATAAGATTAGAATGGAAAGAACCTCGTTCCGATTTACCCATTATGCGTTACAAAGTCTATTGGAGCAGGAGAGTTCGTGGTTTAGGTAGAGAACTAGATTCAGTTCTTGTGAATCATCAGGCAGTACCAAAGGTAAATTATAATTTAAATTTATGTGTACAAGCTTGATCAGTTTGTAGCTTTTGTTAAATGTATTTCAGGTTATTATTAACATTTGTTTTTATCGACCTCACAGCCTTCACGGAAATTTCAATGCCTTAAGTCCGGGTAGAGGGAGCGGAATTTTCCTTGTCGCATAACTCTCTCTAGGAATGAAAAGAGGTCTGTGCTCACTAGTGCGTATTTTTTACGTTAGTGGTTTAATCTTACGGCGATAGTATTACATTTTCGTTTGAATAAATAATTTTATACAGAGTCGTGGTAGCTCAATATAAACAGCTCAAATATAATAGAACGCGAGTAACCCGGGTTCGGTCCCCGCTGGCACCAATAAAACTGTTAATTGCAATTTTAAGTGCTGATTTACCACGTGCTCGGCGGTGAAGGAAAACATTGTGAGGAAACCTGCATATCTGAGGAATAAGAAAAAAAATATTTCGAAGAAATGTGAAGTTCGCCTACACGCATTGGGGCAGTGTGGCGGACACTTCCTTGCCCTAAAACCCTCTCAGAAACGAGGGGAGGCCTGTGCCCAGCAGTGGGACGTATATAGGCTGTAACTTTACTTTTACTTTTAAATATATTTATTTGGTTGACCATATGAGCCGTGTAGTGGCGGTGTAAGAAAATCCACTACCCCATTTCATCCCGTGGGTTTCGTAAGAGGCGACAGGGAGAAACAAATTAAGAGATGCGTAGCAGCGTCATCTTAATAAAAACTAAGAATTTAAAAAAAAATGTCAATCCATTTGCCGGGCGTGATAACTATGGCAAATACGAGGGATACGAGACAATCAATGGGAGAGGCGTAAGTTCAATGGTGGACTTTTGATAAGCTGAAACGGTAACAGTTTTAACCATTCATGGCTGTTATTAATAAATAATAAATCAAATTAGTATATTATGTTATGTCCATGTTATCAGGAGCAAACATACGTGGAAATAAAAGATTTGCAGCCCAACTCAATGTACTTTCTTCAAGTACAAACCATCAGCCAATTTGGTCTCGGAAAACTGCGAAGCGAGAAGGCAGCTATATTCTATAACACCACTGATACAAGCAACGGTAAGTTACTAAAGACTATAATTATGTGTTATTTTACTATTTATTCTGTGATATAGAGTGCAACTTTTATGTTATGACCTCGATAATTGCGATGTTTAAGTTAATTATTTATACTTATTAAATTGCCACTTTGAACTGTAGAATTTGGTACTCAAACAAACCAGTTTGGTGAACTAAAACTTTATGACAACACATGGCCACATAGCCACATACTGCACAACAAACGTTGCCCAAATTAGTAGATCTAAGACTAGAAACCCTTCTTTGTCATATTTTCCAAAAGTCTTTGAACCAAAACACTTCATTTTTTCGAAGTTTAAATACATTTTTGATTCGCGAGTATTTTAATTTCAAGAAACAGTAAAGAAAGACTTCTAAATAGCCATTTTTTATGAGAAAATGATAATAATTTTTATTCAATAAAAATGTTTATCAACAATAGATTTGAATAAATTATTAACATATTTATGACCAGTTTTTTAATGCCCTTGCAATAGAAGTAAGCTGAGAATCGATTCTGTTAAAAATTTTAGGTGAATAAAAATTATTATAATTTTCTCATACAAAATGGTAATTTCATATAGGTGGAGACCTAATATATAGATTGACAAAAAACCTTTGTGCGAAATATAACTTTTGGTTGAATGTTTGTAGCGAGTCCTTAAATAATATGGCATACATATTAATAGAGTTAAAATGAATGTTGTAATACTCGAAAGAAGTACGTTAAAAATGTACTAGCATGTTCGTTGGTTTGTTATTTTTTCACGCAGCAATGTCACAACGGATCGACATGATTTTTTGCTATACCTATAGTTTATGGGTCGGAGAGTGAAATAGGATGGAAATAATTTTTATCCCGTAAAAATGTATGTAGTTACTGGATAGATCTGGAGCATAATTTTATATTTACCCATATACCTATGCTGTCTTAGGACTTGAAAAATACGTAATGTGTGATTTTTAGAAATGATGTCGCTTTTCAACTTCCATGCGAGCGAAGCCGCGGGCAAACGCTATTTGAAAGATATCTACAATATATTATATATTTGACTTTCAATTTATTTTAAATTGTATTGATCAAACGTTCGATCAGAAACAAGCTAGTGAAGAGCGAAGAGTAGTTACACAATCCTCTGGGCGAAAACCGCAAAATAACTATAGTCGCGTCCTTAATAATATGATACCTCTACAATCAGCTGCCATTTTGTGAATAATGGTTCTAGATTAATGTACTCGTATTTTGCTTATTCCACCGTTGTTTTTAATCGCGTGGGATAGAATTATTTTATTATTTACGATAGTACGAAATGGAATAAACTATCTGAGGAAATTAAAAGAGATGTAAGGGGAATTATATACACACATAATTTTTGACTGATCACTCGGAGAAGAATTAGGTGTATTAGGTAAGTTAGGTAACCTATAGGTGGCGCTGCCTGTAGATTAACGAAACATTTTTTTAGCTAGCAATCAATAGCAAAAAGTCCAACCAAATGTATAGAACTCAATTCCCGAAAATATGTGAATGGAAGCAAAATTAGTGTCAGCGTGCTATTTAGCGTATAATTTTAATGAATGTAGATCCAACATTGGTATAACATAATAATACATTATGTATTGCACAAATTATTACTTGTCATATATCATTCAACTGCTCACATTTATTTTGTAGTATTCAAAGGATTTAAATACCCAGAATAGCGACGGGGAGCAGTTTTAAAGTTGCGAAATGTTTAATACTGTGATCACTAATCTCTCGGTTTGTTAAAGCCTGGCGTGGTAATTATGGCAATTCCTCCTAATGTGAGGCATTATGAACTGATGAAGGAAAAAGAGATAAATATAACGGATATATTTTATTCATCGAGGTGATTAATATGGAATGTTTTTGTGTCGAAAATATAAAATTATGTACTTAAATATATTGTTTATATAGGAAAGCGTTTGAGGAATGTACTGGAGATTTTTTACCGCCTGCAAAATATAAGGTGTAAACAGGTGAACGGAATTATACTTTTTTTACATTAACACATTATGAAATTGATCTATCAATAAATACTACTAATTGGGTACGTATTATTTTAATTTCGATAGTTTTAATTTATTTATTTATTTAGTTCAAAAATTTTGTAGTTATTCTTTTAGTACCGATAGTTTATTTCAAATTATTAGTATTTATTGATAGACTAATTTCATAATATGTTAATGTAAAATAAAATAAAAATTTGTAAAATATCAGTGCCATAGGTTTCTATTCCGCTACACCCTGTTTTTCCAGACGGTAAAAAATCACCCAGTACAACACCCAGTAATAAATACTCATTACACAAATTTTAACAGTATAATACAAAGAATACTAGTACCCGGATGACCGAGCTTTGCTCGGTTTTTTTTTTTGAAATTACATTTAGATACAAATTACATACTGATGAATAATATTTTTTGATCTTATTGACATAATAGAAAAAACTGAACTGGTTATTTGAATAAAAAATCATGAGTGCAATTAGTTTAATTAAAATTTTCGTATTTTTTAAAAATACTAAAAAAAGGACTCGAAATAATAGATTTTATCACAAAAGAAGGGAACTTGAAAAAAAAGGAAAAAAAATCGGACCGAAGACAGGACGCGAACCAAGGCAATACGACTTCGCGACCGCTCGATATCCACTTTTTTTATCTTTTATATAAAAAAATTTTATCTTTTAATTTACCTTCTTATATTATAGCAGTTTTTCATTGCCTAAAAACACGGACAAAAAGACATTTTCTAAAAATAAATCCTAGCTAGATCAATTTATTGCCCCCAAAACTCCCTGGACACTAAATTTTATGAAAATCGTGGAGCCGTTTGGTTTAATCTAAGCATTTTAATACCCACAGAAGAAAATAGATAAGTTATAATTTTAGCATTGGTAATATAGTAATAGTACGGTTATTTTTTACCCATAATACCTATATAGTTGGGCCTGAATTTACTAGATGTAGTGACAACCTGAAGAAATATTCAGATAGTTGATAGATCCAGAATGCTCAAGACAAGTGGAGGCTTATGTTCAGCAGGGAACTTGTATACTTAATGTATATTATTACGTGGACTGTTATATTGATGAAATGCGGATACCAACTGTTTTAAATCATTTTCAAATATATAAAATATATTTCTATTGTTCCCTACAGAACAACCAAAACGACCAGAACCTCTGCAGAAAAAAGAAAATAAACAAATTAAAAATCTTAAGCTAAACAAAATTATTTGGGTGGATCATAAATTGAGAGCTAAAATCTCTTGGGAACCTTCAAGTAACCGAAACGATAAGACAAGAAGGTAACGTAATGATTATATTTAACTGGTAAAAATGTTAATCTTAATTTCATACATATAACTCAAAATTATTTTTACAGATTCTTCGTCCATTGGAAAACAATAAAATGCCAAAAACCGCAAAAGCAAGATAAAGATTTATTGGCAATAACCGAGGTCTGTATACGAGTTTTGTTCATAAATAATTAAAAGTAAAATAGACGTTATTAATTATTTTTTTAAAACTAAGTAGCTAGCAACCACTCATTATAAACGTGTTCATATTAGATACATTATGTTACTATTTTTTATAATACATAATACTTTCATCAGTGTTGATTTACTATATTAGTTCTTTGTGTGAACAACCTGATACAATGAAAACGTTGAAACGTTTTAAATTAACATAATTTATTATTTATTTCTTTATTTATTTATTAATTCTTTATTTGCGCAATATGTATACAGATGGTGTTACAGTGGTCAATTTACATTGTTGATCGCCATATTTAGGCTCATGCCATGCAAAAATTCTTAATTATATGCTATAGATTAAATTAAAATTATTACATATCAAATCATAGTGTCTAAATAATTATTAAAATAATGTCAAATGAGATTACCTAATTAATACACAATGTCAACTTTGTAAAATAATGTCACATAAAATGTCTAATTAATGTCACAGTACCACTAAGCCGGTTACAATACTGCATCTATTAATTCGTCTTCAAGAAATTCCCTTACCGAATAATATGATTTTTCTAAAAGTAGTGTCTTCACTTTTTTTTAAATAAATTATTATTTGAAATTTCAAGCAGAGAGTTGGGTAAATGATTATACACTCTCGGAATCATACAAAATACACTGCTGTTTAAAAGTTTAGTTTTGTTATACATGAAGCTTATTTGGAAAGGGTGTCTCTTGCTTTTTAATTTAACAAATAAGTTACTATAATTTTTTACAAATAGCACCATATCCAGTATATAAATACACGGTAGTGTCAATATTTTAATCTTTGAAAATATCGACCTACAGGATGTTAATGGAAGTTAAAGCATATTATTTATTCTGTAGTTAAAGTTAAGTTAAAATTTCTTTGAGCTATATCTCAAAAAAAAACTGAAAACATTTTTAGAATTGTGTCTGTATATTTGTCATTGAACGCATTTTGTTTAAAGTACTAACATAATTCAAAATAATCATTAAAAAATCGTCAAAAATTAGTTGAAATGTATTACTAAAATTTAGCATGCAGCGGCGGCAACTTCCTTTATAAGGCGGGATAACTATCGCACAGGTACTTATATTAACCTGAGTGCGTTGGGGAACAGCAAGTTGCGAGACGTCAATACTCCGATCGCAAAGCAGTGTGCGAAACGTGGTGATTACGGCTGGACCTATGAACTACGGAAAAACCCATATCCAGAAATTAACTGCTTAGGAGCTGTTGAGAAGAATGTAGTTCAAATAGATGCTGCGGCTTTATGGGCTTTGGCAACATCACTACAACTCACGCCGAGTTGGGTTTCATTTCCGTTGCTGAAACCCAAAAATATTTAAGTATGTAGTAGTAATAGACTGGACATCAGCAACAAAATTGTCGTCTGTAACATTTGTCCTATAGGATATACCTATCTCCGATTTTTGTCATTTTGTCTAAGTGACATCGCCGAAAGATCAAGACGCATTCGTTTCATAAATTTAAAAAATATTTTTAAAGAAAGTATGCCCGGTTGTGCATTATGGGTATTGTAAGTCACGATATCGAGCAAAAATGAACATGATTTCGGTTTATTATCCTAATAATAATGTTTATTTACCAAATAATCTTTAAATTTTATTACTTCTGGTAGATTGTTCTAGAAGAAAGAAAAATTATTGTAATAAGTGCCCTCTGTTATCTAGTAACGTCACTATTTATTTACAAATATGTTTGTAATTGACGACGTGTCTAAAACTGATTTTTACCTTATATTTAGAAGCGTCATCTAATGGGAAATAGCTAAAATGTTTTCTAAATAAATATTCAGCATAGTATTGCTATTTTTCGCTAGAGGACTTAACACACGCGCGTACTCACAATTTTGTATGCAAATGTTCCCAATGTCCGCTCTATAGTAGTAGTAGTAGCTCTATAGTCCGCTATATATATAATATATTATATATATTGGAGTGGAGTTATTAAGCTACGTTTTTAATTAGATCAGTGAACAAACTTATGAACCTGACAAATATGTAACAATTATGTATAATAATTTTCAAGTTCTTTGAACGTCAAAATCGACTACCGATTCGAAATGTTACACCTTTTCAGGGAATGACCGGTAATAAAGTCTTGAGCTATTGTTTTAATATTATTACACTTACGCTGGAGTTTGCTTTACCGGACAACTGAATACAAATCGATGGTATTAAAACTGAGTGTTTTTAATTTTTATATTAAGTAATTAAGTAGGTCCGATATTATCGCACAAAAACTGTTAAATAATATTTCTTTAAAGGTTAGATTCTTTAAATCCTCAGATAAAAGTTATTTAACGGATAAAATACAACATATACAAATTAAAACTACAGTTGTAGCAACAAAATAGTTCAATGGTTGTACTTTTAAATTTAGCTAGGCTGTCGGGTAAATTTCATCTGACGAATGAAAATATCCGTCATTGTAAAACTAGCAAATATCACATAAAACAACTACAATTTTGATTTAATATTGATTTAAAGTTGATTTTACCAAAACTCAAAAACTTTAGTTGCGTATAGACAACGTTGTACCTACTAATTAGCGATTTAGTAGAGATAGAGACTTTGATATTTTCTCATCATACGAGTACATTACATTACATCATACATTTATATCTAAGTAAAAACTTTTAATAAACTCTTTATATTTACATTATATAGTGGCAAAATTATGCACACTCAACAGAAAGAAAACATGTTTCTCATATAGTTCTATTACAGAGGATAATATGTGCATATAATCAAATATTTATATATATATAATATAATAAAAAACTAAAAATAAAAAAAAAAAAAAAAAAAAAATATATATATATATATATATATCCTTATATAAATTACACATATTAATATTTTGTAATTTATTTTGTTTTTGTTACTTAAAACTCCTGCAAAAACAAAATTTACAAGAAATAGATATCGATACTACAGTAATTTAATTGTAAGCGTTACTTGCAATAGCTTATGATTTTTTAAATAGCCTTAAAAAGCCTTAAAAGCTCTTTTGTTAAAAAAAACCAGTTAACCTATATTTATCCTTAAATATAATGTGTTATATTTACGATACCTTATACTTTGACCGATGGGGATGAAAGGTTGATATGTGTCAGCCTCATACGAGTAAGCGAAATATAGTTTGGCCCCCAATTAGATAGAGTAACGACTTGGTAGGACATACAGGAAATAGTTGGATGCCGATGGAACAGGAACGTGCCTTGTGGCATTTTTTGTGGGAGGCCTATGTTGTGATGCGATTTAATGATGACTATGTACGTTTTCTATGTACGTGACTATATACGTTTTGTTTTAATTTCAGGAAACTACATTCGATATCTACGAATTAGATTATAACTGTAGTTACTTGGTCAGCGTTAACAAGGCACAAAATGCGAAAATTGATAACTCCGATATCGTTATAACCGTTCCCGATTGCGAGTATTTTAAAAGAAAAGTAAACAGTACGGTTATACGATGTAACCCATAGCACTTAATAAAAATTGTAATTATTCTGTTATCTACTGAGTCCCGATCATTAATTAAATTAATTAATAAAACTAAAAAAAAGTACTTAAGTACATCGGAAATTCGAAATTTTAGCTAATTAATTATATTCCGCAATGTATAAATAACAACTATAAAATTTTTACCAAATAAACGACCCTGTTACACAAAGTAAAGGTTTTACAAAATGTTAATAAATTTATAATTTATCGAAGCGCTTGTTAAAAGTGAAACCTTAAAGACTCTTCTAGAACCGCTTTATTAAATACTTCGTACAACTTTGTGCACGAATTATAATAAAATTATTAACGGGACACAGTTTATAACGGTATCTATCTCCTATAGTTATATTTATATTAGTAAGAACCAGATTTTTGACTGAATAGTATATATATTACAAGAATAAAGAAAGAAGATTGTTCTCAAAATTGAATTAGGTAAAATGAAATTTAAACCAACTTATATATAGTTCATGTTTTGCTTATTAAGATATCTTCGTCGTCGTGAGTTACCATTTTACTGCTGATTATATCTTTAGATGCTAAGAATTTTATACATAAACATTAAATTCTTTAGCATTTAAAGTATTAAAACCTCTTAGACAATATGTTTAGTGGCATAATTAATTATTACTGTACACACATTTATTAAGATAGACTACTGCTCGACGTGTAAAGTTCGTCAGGGAAAGTTAAGTAAAAGTATTGTTTTCCACAGTGTAAAGAACACACAAACCGATATTTAGTAAAACGTGGTGATAATAATATAGTTTTAATTACGTTTTCTGAGTAACTGTTACCTATTTATTTACTTATTCTTGACGTCATCACTAAATAGAAGATGCATGTGTGTCTGTCTGTTCAATTACAATACAATGATTGCAATGATATTACCTATTTGATATTTGTTTAATAAATCCGAAATTCGTTTAGTGATAATCAGCAGGAATATGTTTACTCACAACGATGAAGATATATTTTATTATATTTTTAATAATATTATATTTTTAATTTATCTTAGTAAGTTTTAGCAATCAAAACACAAACTATAAGTTGCTGTAAAGTTCATTTCAATACAATTTTATGAACAATCTTATTTCCTGCACGCAAACGTCTGAATATTATTTATTACTTGCAATGTTATATATATTAACATATTATAATAAATAAATATTTGATTTGGTTTTTTGTTTCATTACAATATGGAAATTATTATTATTTACTATTATTATAAATGGAAAATTACCATTTTTAACAAATACAACGGCAGGATGATCACTGAGTCGTAATCAATATTTTCCATTACAGCCTATAAAAGCCCACTGCCGAACATAGGCCTCCTCATAGATTGCCTCAAAAGGAGGATTTTGCCACAGTTGCCACACTTGGCAACTATGGCAAAATCTTCTCAATAACTAAAAAATGGTGGATTAACAACCAGTTTTTAGTTATTTTGAGTTGTTATCAAGAAGATGGTTCTGATCATCTCCTGTTTCGGTCACCCTCTGCCTCTTTCGCCTCTTACGACACCCACGGGACGATATGGGGCAGTTGATATTCATACACCGCCACTGCATGGAAAAATGATTCGTACTAACGCCATGTATTTTGGAAACAATTTTGAGAAATATTTTAATAAACACTGTTTCAGAAGCGAAAATTACGTTTTCTGAAAGAAATAATTATGTTTTCTTATATTTACGCGAACACTACACATTGACTAAAACTACTTATTTTATGGATTTTATCGCGTTTAATTTATTTTATTTTTAATGCCCGACGTTTCGGGTGCTTTCCAGCACCCATGGTCACGGGGAACTGAGTAATGACGTCCCAATGTCAGTGTTAACCCGGAGTACCTTTAGCTTTTTAATTATTTACTTATGGTCCAATCTACGCTGAATGAACTTACTGTGTCTTAAAGTCTTGCAGTGGTATGCTTGGGTTTAGTTTTAATTTCGTTAATTACAGGGTCCCAAGCAGGCGGTAGTACCCAGCCTCCTTTTCTACTGAGATTAGGATGTTTTTTAATTTCAATAGCCTCACCTATCTTCCTTGTTAAAGATTGATGTTCTTTAGCGAGTATTTGTGGTATATCAAATCTGATTTAACGACATGAAGCATCTACGACCCAGAAAGTCTGCAGTTTGGGATTATATCCTAGACGGCCCCAACCATTACAGGGGGGCAGGGAAATCTGCGCACACAAAAACGATTGTCTATCACTCTACTAAAGACACAAATAACAATTAAAACAATAAACTAACAATTTCACACACGCATATTCTTTCCTTTTTTTATTATATGCAAGCAGCTATACGGTTTTAGTAAAAGAGACCAGTATCACTGCAACCTAAAAGATCTATTGTGAGCGCTGCTATGGCTATAGTTTACTGCTTATCCCTATGTCTTCAATGAATAGAAGGAGTTGTTTAACTGCGCGCAATTTCACTTCTTTTGGGCTGAATACATAATTTCCCAGATGAGTGTTACGTTCGCGCAGCAATCAGTTAAGATGTGCAGATGCGTTTCTTCCGTCAGGTAACAGAAATGGCACACCCTTAAATTGCTTATTCCCAGGATGGACATGTGCTTTTTAAGACAACAGTGTCCAATTAGGGCTCTTGCCATAATGCGCAATTTATTTTTACTCAATACCAGGGATTCTGAAGCGAATTTACGATCAAAAGCCCTGATTAAGAGTTAAGAATGTTGAGATAAAGAGTTTCAAGGGTCGATCGGGCTAGGCTTTTTGAGATTCCACAAAATGGTTCGCGTCTAAATTGTGTACTCTTTGAGCTCTCCAGTGGGATGAAAAGCAAGCTCAAACTGCCCTGGGTATTAATCCTATATAAACTAGCCCTCGCCTCTTTGTCTAATTAAAGATCAAGGGGCGTTAGGAATAGAAGTGCATTAGGAGCCGCTCCAAGCGGTGATCGCATAGCTCCAGTTGCCATTAAGCAGGCAGTCCTTTGTAGACTATTTAGTCTGTCCGCAGTCATGTTTTGGTTAGCCTTGTTGCACCAGACAATAGAGGCGTAGGTGATAATAGGCCTCACTATGCTTCTGTACAGCCTTAGGACCATACTGGGACGCAAACCTCAGTTGTTCCCAACCAAACGACACGTAACTAAAGCATTTTTCCTTATAGCATACGTTGCTTAGGTGATTTTTCCACGTTAGTTTTTGGTCGATTGTTACGCCCAAGTACTTTAACTTCAGTGGAGAATGGTACTATTTCACTTTAACATTGAGTTTTGATGTCACTAAGTTTTCCCACCATCTCTTTTTGGTCAAGGGTATTATAACAGTTTTATCAGCATTGACTGATAAACTGTTGTCCCTACACCAGTCATTTATGGTGTTTAGGTCTCTTTGTAATGATAAAGTACTTTGGCAAAAGCCCCTCGCAATGATCACAAGGTCATCAGCATAAACTAGTGTGCCAATGCGAAGGTTTGCTATCTTGTACAATAGTTGGTCAACCGCAAGAGTCCAAGGAAGGGTGACAAAACACCCCCTTGCCTTGTCTCAATCGAAATTTGAAACAGCGTTATGCCTTTCTGTTTGAAAGCATCGACTTCACCCACCTGATGGTTGTATGGTCAACATTTTAAGATGTCAGGCCTCCAATCAGCAGTGATGTGGGACTACAGTCGAAGGCGACCTCAATATCTAGAAAGGCACAAAGAGCTTTTTCTTTATCCTCCAGTGCTTTTTCGACCCTGTCAATAACACATATCAGGGCTGTTTCCGTAGATTTGCCTCTGCGATAAGCTTGTAGGTGTTAATGTACGATCCTCGTTACTAAAGTAACATCCGTTATATATCTATCTACAACCTTTTCCAGTGTCTTAAGAAGAAAGAAAAATAGGCTTATAGGTTTAAAGGACGTTGGTAAAGCATAGTCTTTTCTACCAGCCTTAGGTATAAATAGAACTTTCACAATTATCCATCATTATGGAATATATCAAGCAATATAATACCATGCAAAACTTGCTCTGAAGATATTTACCAGATTAGGAAGAAGGATATTGATACCTCTGTAGTTGGATGGGAATCTAGACACGCGGCAGCGTGTCAAGCCAAGTTCAAGCAGAACGACGAGCCGCACCGTGTGTAATATTACACGAACCATTTGGAGCCACTTTCGACCCCCTTCATAACTCAAAAACTATTTTACATAAACGTTTCAAATTTAGCACATATATTGAGACTTACAAGATATATATGTACTTCAAATTTCGTAAGCACATCTCAAACGTTTATATAGATATTAACATCTAAAAATCGTCATTTTTATTACTGACTGACCTATAGATCAAAACTGATGACCTAGAAAGTTCAAATTTGGCATGCAGATAGGTAATTAGGTGAATACAAAGGAATAAATCAGAAACTGATATTTTTTTATAATTTTATTATAATTTTTCACTTAATTGATTCTATTAGGAACATGTACACAGCGCGCGGTACGCCGCCGGAGGAGCGGGGTGGGAGCGTTGCGATAAAACCTTGACGCAAACGTGTCCGAGGTCCGAGCGAGTGGCAGATGGCACTGGCAGCAGCGCTCAAAAACGCGAGCGCCGTTTTCTGGCTTTAAGGTGGCGATTTATGCTACGAAATTGATAGGTTTTTTAAAAAAATACTTATATATTTGTGGTTATATTATTATTACAATTCTTTTAGTAAGTACGCACCGCGTGTCTAGATGGTATAATAAAAAAAGTTTAAATAAAAATTAATAATAATTTTAGTATAGTTATAAGTAGGTATGTATACCTAACTCTGAATGAGTGAGAATGAGACTTTATTGGTATGGTAACAAATTTTCTTGAGAATTCAATAGATTACAGGTAATTTTTTATGTAATCCTTTTAAATAATTACCTTTTTCTTACGTATATTATATAATGAGTCGTACAATAGAATTACGAGTGGGTGACACACTTACCTTACACCGAATTATTCCAATGCCTCCCGAT